CCCACAAGGTTGCTGTCTGAGTCCAAGGTTGTATGCCTGGTTCACTAAAGACTACACAGCAAGACACAGCAACAACCGCATCATTAAGTTTGCGGATGATACCACTATAATAGGACTGATCAGCGATGATGACGAGTCTACTTACATGGATGAAGTTGTACAGCTGCTTAGGTGGTTTCATAGCAATAACCTCGACCTGAACGTAAATGAAACGAAAAAGCTAACAGTGGGCCTTCGGAGACACAGGCCACACACTCACGGCCCACTCAGTATTGATGGAACGGAAGTGGAAACAGTCACTAGCTTTAGGTTTTTGGGAATTCACATTTCTAAAGATCTAACCTGGACTGTGAAAACTGACTCTATCTTGAAGAAGGCTCAGCAGTGCCTTTATTTCTTGAGGTGCCTCAAGTTATGGGGGATGCCAATACCTGTGTTGGTGAACTTCTACTGCTGCACTATTAAGAGCATCTTCACCAACGGGATCACCGTGTGGTACGCAACACCTCTTCTTGAGAGAGAAAGGCACTGCAGAGAATGGTCAATATGGCCCAGAAGATCATCGGCTGTGGTCTCACCGAGATTAAACAGTTCTATGAGGACCACTGGCATGGTAGAATTCTGGCCATCACAGAGGACAGTCACCACCCCGAGCATGAGCTCTTCACCCCACTGCCCTCAGGCAAGAGATACAAGAGCATATGGACACTTACCACTAGATTCTTCAATAGCTTCTATCCACAAGCACCGCGATTGGCGAACACATTTAGCCATGCCCCTTGCACCACACCTATACCATCTACCTCATTATGATTTCTTATTTATTGCACATCTCCAGTCATTGTTTACACGTCTGCATTGTTTACATTCAAACTGTTTACTTGTACATTGTCTACTGTTTGTATATTGTCTTGATGCACTGTCTGAACTTTGTGTTTTTACACTCGATACTTTCTGTAAGTAAGAATTCCATTGTACCAGTACATGTATTGGTAACATATGGTAATAAAGTTCAAGTTCAAGTAAAAGAAACTCATGACATGAACGTACTGTAATGTGCATCCGATATCCTTACTTCCTGCCAAGACTCGCCCATTTAGACCGCATTCTCCATAGTCACTACACCAGCTATGTGCATTAAGTTGTGGAATAGTTTGGATTTTGTTTTAATACAGTATTGCACACTATTACAGGTACTGCAACCAATATAAATTAATACCACATACTGTATACAGTAAACAATAAATGAAACATTGGAAAGAGAATCCCATTTAAAAATTGTTGAAATTCTGTACTGTATATCTCTTTACCTTACACTGGACTGTTCAACAACTAAAAACACAACAATATGACTGCAGTAAGGGCTATTTATCATTTTAATCAAAAAAGCGCAGATCGATATACAGTACAGATGATGCAGTGCATGTGTAAGAATTAAGCAGTGGTTAACCATATTATGCTTACTCTGTGTTAGTCATCCACCTAAGGAATTAATCGCATCTAATTCTTTACCTTTCCGTAACTCAAAAACTGCTTTATGGGACCTATATCGAGCCATACATAACCCATGAAACTGTACTGAAAACACATGTATTGAAATTTTGTTAATGCATAATTTTGTAAACGATTTTCTTTTCTACTCCATTTTGTTAATTGACAATGCAGTTGATAACGATGCCTACCTAACTGGTTAATAATCTATGGAAAATCTCTAGAGAAGGTTATTTTTGTCAAATATTTAATTAGCACAAAACAATCTAAAAAAAAGAAACAAGAGATTTGTGGATCTAAAAATGATCTAAAAGAAAACAGAATGTAAACTACCAAGTTAATAAGGGTAAGGATGTACCAGTGCAATGTCAGATTTCTAAGATGGTAATGGGAACTCTCACTAACCCACCACCTTTGACTCTTAGCTTGCCTCTCTCTGCCTGCAAAATCTCATTCCCATACACACTCACGTGCATTTTCCTGATCTGCTCAAATGCATCCTACATATTGTGAAACAGATGAAGCAAATTATAGAGCAGCAATTGTGCAACAGCCCAAATGCTCCCTTGCTTATTTAGTAGCATTTATTTCACATATGTGGGTTTGCTGTTTCAGCACCACATTCTCTCCAAAGAATTCCTAGTTGAAGAATTTCAACCTTTTTCCCCCTGTGAGTCAACCTGATCATTCTGGAATGTCTGTAAACCACAGCAAGACAGGGTCAAGGATCAAAACTGGAGGGAAACCAAACTGACCCACCTGCTCTTCCTCTGTAGCTTAAAATGAAACAGCATTCCTTCAGTCTATGAGGCTGCCATGCTGCTGTTAGAGGGACTGATTTTAATTCTTAACGAAAGACGAACAGGGGTTTGGACTAAAAGTGGAGAATTAGAGCCCTTTCCAAGCCATACAAATTTCAACATGCTTAAATAAAACAAAGTACTGGAATCTGGAACAGCTAAATGTAAGGACTTGGGACTATTTTTGCACTGGTACAAAAATAATACCTTACATTTCAATTCTTCTCAAGAATGTGTCTAAAATATTATTTAGTTTGGAAGCCACATGGCTGGGATATTCATTTTCAGTATTTTCCAATATATCAATCATGTTTAAAAAAGTAACAAAGAACATGTGCAGAATTCCGGGTGTTGTGGTTTTAAGACTCAGTCCTTGCTTATATACAAGGCGCAGTTTAGTATTATCTACACAAGCTGTAAATGAACTGCATGTTGAAGAATTTACATGATCTGAAACGCTTTGTTCCAGATGTTACCAGTTCAAACCCGGGCCTGGCAATCAAGAGATTGTGAGGGATATTGAACACTGTCAGGGATCCCTCATCAATTTACAGTATGCATAAACCAGTCCTGGAACCTACAGAGTACCTGGAAGCTTGTAATGATATGGAGAAATGCATCACTCTCACAATCAGTGATATTTCCTCTGCACGCTGGAGCACGGCGTCGGCAGGTCCTCACTCATTCATAATGTTCCACTCATTTAATACGAACATTTGCTTCCCTGAATCAAACCATTAATCTGTAAAGTCAAAACAACCATGACAAAACCAAAAGAACGTATAAAGAAATTTGGAATTTGGAAATGTTGTGTTGAATGGGGTGCTGAATGAATATGGGTTCAGACTTAAGTGACGTGCGAGTCAGAAACACCTTATAAATGTTGAATTTATTCGTTAATATGCCTGTGCAGTCAATGCTGATTGCTGATTGCAAGAGTTTGTAAAGTTAAATCAGTTTATCTCAAACTACTGATTGTAGAGCAATTTAGACAACATTCCCTTTTGGGCCAACACACTGTATATAGCCATATACTGTATGTGAGAACAAAAGTGTGTAGAAAACATTGAAAGAACTGTTTTCCTAGGTATAATATCAGCCCTAAAACACAGCCATGCCATCAAATACTGTCTATATTTTGTGGGAATTCTAACCCTAACCCTAGCTAAGGGTTTGGCTAGGTTAGGGTTAGGGCTCAGGAATTTGTCAAAGACCTTTCACAATCTTCCACTCATTTGATTGGAAACATTTGCTTCTCTGAATCAAAGTATTAGTCTGAAAAGACTAAAAAACCTTACCAAAACCAAAAGAATGTATCAAGATTTTTTAAATTAATTTTTGTCAGATATTCTTTCTTTGGAAATTGTGTGTTGAATGGAGTGCTGATTGAATATGGGTTCAGGCTTAAGTGGCGTGAGAGTCAGAAACACCTAATAAATTTTGGTTTTATTTGTTAATACAGTATGCCTGTGATGTCAATGCTGATTGCAAGAGTTTGTAAAGTTAAATCAGAATCTGTCAAACTATTGCTTGTAGAGCAATTTATAAAACATTCATTTTTGGGCCAATACACTGTATACAACTTTATATGTGAGAAAAAAAATGTTTAGAAAACATTGAAATAACTGTTTTCCTTGGTATAATTTGTGCCTTAAAACACAGCCATGCCATCAAATACTGTCTATGTTTTATGGGAATCCTAACCCTAGCTAAGGGTTTGTCTAGGTTAGAGTTAGGGCTCAGGTATTTGTCAAATACCTTTCACAATCTTCCACTCAGCTGACAGAAAATTATGCTTCTCTGAATCAAAGTATTAGTCTGAAAAGACAAAATCCCTTATCATTTCCGCCGTGGAGCCTTCTTCAGGTGTGAGCACCTTACTGTAATTATTGTAATGATAATGAGAAATGCGCCACTCTTTCAATCAGAGATATTTCTTCCGCACGCTGGGGCAGGGCATCTGTACTGTAGGTCCTCACTCTGCAGGTCGCTCACTCCTGAAGAAGGCTCCACGGCTGAAAAGTTGAGTTTTCTTTCTTTTCTTTTCAATATAGACTATATTTCACAAGGAGATATTTCCCTTCTCTAGAACAATCTCCAAACACTGTGTCTTCAAGGAAATGTTCAAATCAGAATAAACAAACTGCAAACATATGGTGCCGCTGCATGTGCCTTAATGCCAAGAACTGCCTGGAAGAAACTAAAAATGTTGAAATCATTAAAACCTAGTAACATGTATGAGAATATCTTGAAGTGTAACTGCAGTTAATATGACCACCCTGATGGGGGAATTCGCACAACAACTCAACAAGCTGCATACTGTACTCGAGAGAAGTGCCAAGTCAACAGTTCTATTGCTCTTTTTAAATATTGTAAATACAGGACAGCAATTAACAAGTTATCATTGTGCCCTCCTGGACTGCATTAGATGCAAGTGAAATGCCTTCAGTTGAAATTTTGCAAAGGCAAATAGAAAATATATACTTTTTTTCTTTTTCTGAAGTCTTCAAAACTATGATGCGTATTTCACCTAGGTGGAGCACAATCAGCTCCCACTGGGGAAAACAATTCTGACAAGACAGGGTATTGCATTATCCGTCTTAAAGTAAAAACAGATTTTGTTCAATTCCTGAGTACATCTTAGTCGCAAAGCTCCGAAGAAACATTTCTCACTCCATGATATACTGTACATCCAAGATAGAGCATTACCTGTGCTGGCTTGAATGAACTGTCTGAGCTGTTGCTGTAAGCTTCTGCTGCTGGGACTGTAGGCTGTCCTTCCAGCCAGGATATCTTCAAGGGGTTACTTGTCAAGCCCATTTCATTTTTAAAAGCAAGTTCCTAGGGGGAATTAATGACAAAACTTGTTTCTTCTCCAAATCCTGTAATGAAAATGTGTTTCAACAAAAATCCTTCCAAAGATAAGCAAAACACTTATAGATCTATACCGTTATGCTTGGTGTATTTAAGCAACTATGTTGTTAAAACTGTAGAGCACTGCCACTTGGGATTCACAGAGTACAAACCACAGAGCACACATTTTCAGGGATAGGGGGGATCAGAGAGCACTGAATGGACTCAGACACCTACCACTTGTATCCATGATGGCTTGTTCACATGGTAGGACATACTACATGATAACAAGAAGTTGTTCCATGTCCATTGTCACTGACAACAGCAATGTGTTTACCACTGTCCTATTGGTACGTGTTCGAAATTCAAACCTGCACAATGTAGGCCTCCCCAAACAGTCAACTAACTTTGTAGACAAGGCAGTACTCATTAAACGAGATTGTACTTTAATTCATTTAAAAACACAGTAAACATTTGCAAATTCACAAATTCAGACATTTACTGAACTTTTCCTCCCCTGACCCCCCATGGCGTTGCAAGACCCTCAGAATGTTCTGACAACAACCACACTTTGAGAGCTAGCTCTCAAAGGAAAGCAAGCACGCTCTCTTCAGGGAAACCACACACTCCATACAAACCACCACAATAAACAGAACACACCAACAAACAGGCTTTCAAAAGTTTGGAACAATGTATCCTTTTTGCCAAAGGATTAAACTGTAGCCATCAAAAAAATTTTGGTTTACTTGAAGGCATTTCCCTTTATACTTTCATTCAGCTAAAAATAATCATTTTATGGCTAGTGGGTAGAAGATTGAATGTTGTGCTGCTGACCATAGTGTCATCAGTTCCTGCTCCTCGGGTGTTGTGCGAACACTAAAAGAACAGCTTACACTTCAAGGTGCCATAATTTAAGATTGAGATAATAATATTTAGGCATTGTTCAAAGAAAAACAGTGAACTACTAAGTCTGGAAGATACTTTTTTCCCATTTAGTGTTACATCCAAAGAAACAAGAACAAAAATGAAAAGTACTTACAGCTGCTTTGACTGTAGCAAACTCAACAACTGCACTCCCATTCTTCTTACTTGAAACAATAACATTTAACACATCACCATACTGGAAAAAAACAGAGATGGATTGTATATTATTTAGTCATGCATTTTAATACCCAGTTAGACGTATGCTTCATAATTTATCAGGTATACTCAAGCAGCCTGGTGTCTTTTTATAATGATATATATGTTATAACTGTTGCCAGGAAAACCATGAAAGTAGACACTTGCTGATAAAACTAGACAAAGCAGCAGATATTTTTTTTAATGTTGGGCTGTGGCTTAGGACAGGTGGTATTTTGAGTAAAGAAATTAGTACACCAGTGACTCAATAGCAGTACAAATATGCTCACAAACAGATCTATAAAAAGTAACCAAAATGTGAAAAAGAATGAACAAATACTGAAGCTGCCTTTAGTGATGCCCAAGAAAACATATTGTGCACTGTGTGTAAGCAAAATCACCTTCCTGAAGACTAAATCAACATTTGTTGGCAAAAAAGAATATCAATACATTTAGGAAATTGCAGAAAAAAAAATGTTAAAACACAGAAATATATAAAGAGACTTTTTAAATGTTAAGAAATACAAAGTGAACGTGGTAAATAATAAAGCATACGTGAGGTATACATTTCCTTAAAAATCTTCCTGAAATGAAATGAAGTAAAACTTTTTACGCTGTTGTAAAAGTGATATTAATAATTGATAATTCCTCGGCTTTCCAAAGAAGTAAGGACAGTTTGGAAATGTTATACAGAGCACATCATTCTCAAACCAATTTCTAACAACCAGTAGTTTACTTAAAAACCTACATTAAACTTGTCTCAGCTTAAACTGTATAATCATTATCCTTAACATGAGAAGGTTCATGTGATGCACTCTACACAAAACAACTAGCCCTGGGTTTCCGCAGTTCAGAGTTACTGTCCAGCTGGACGCCACATTGCACCTGAAGTGCCAGCTAAGAATTTCTATGCATGTAGGACTGCACGTGCTTTTTGTTACTGCAATTAATTGTAATGAAGATCATTATGAGAGGTACTTTATAAAAGAACTGGCAGCTGGTGTTGGTAACCATATGTCATAAGCCTGACAGTATATATATTATATAGAGTGTGCGTAAAGGGTTTTCTGAAATGTGTTTATTCTGGAAAATAGCTCAGAAATGTTACAGCCCAGAGTGTGCGTTTAATATAAACATAATATGGTGCTGAAAAGACTCCAACTATACTGTGGTCTGAACCACACCAGTTTACTATGGGCCTTAATTAGTCCAACAAGAACCTAAAGAGATAGCATGAAACCACAAGCTAAGGTGATTACACTCAACTCCAAAAGGTTTCAGACATTATCCTATTCACTTTCCTTCACATTTCCTCTGGGTTAATCAAACTGAGATCAATAATGAATTAGATTTCTCTAAAGAGTCCCACAAAATGACAGCAGCAGGATCATTTCAGCTTGCACAAATCTTACGTAGATTAGAAAAATACGATGTTCAGTAGCTACTAAAAAGCAGTGCACTAAAAAGTGTGATATCAAAGACTAACATCAAGCTACAAGATGCACTATGAATGACATCATGAAGATGTTACAGCTAAAATACCATCCGAATACAAATGCCCAGAATGAGTGACAATGTGCTGCTGTATGCTCTGGTTAAACATGATAAAAATGGCAAATTAAGTTATACAAAAACTTTTCCAAAAGGAATTGGGCCATTGTACTGTATTTTTATACTTCTTAATTGATGACACAGAAGAAGGATTTAAATGTGTCTACACTGGAAAACTAGAAATGTCAAAACTGGGATAAGGATTGGACAAAGCCTGAAGGTATAAAAAGCATTCTCCTCAACTCCACAGATCATTACTGCTTAACACTTTTTTTTAGTAAGGACTAATTTTAAAGCTTTCATTAGTCTTTATCTTGCAGCATTCACTGGGATCAGCCGGTGACCCTCAAGGCTTGACTTTATAAACTGGATTAATCAAACAACAGGATTTCAACAGAGCAGGTCTGAGCTTTAGCACCCTTCAGGGAGTCCCAGGAACAGAAGAAGCCAAGAGTCTTCTTTCTTAATCTTTGGAAAAAGGGCAAGTATTGTAACTGAAAGCAAAATAGCCAACAATGACAAAGGGACTTTCTAAAGACTACTATTTCAGATTTCCAAATGTCTGATTTTTTGTGGGAGAGGAATCAGTTTTCCACACAAGTCCAAAATACACAAAGTCCCATTCCCACAAGGGTAGTTATTATTTTTATTTTAGCTTTACCTGACATTTTTCTTGGCCCTGCCTGGCCATGTTTTAAAATGTCTATTTTGTTTTGCTTTTACTCCCTCTGTCTTAAAACTTAGTCCAGTGTGCTTTTTCCCACAAACCCTTGACCCAATTTCCCATGTCCAAGGCCATGACCCCTGCTAATAATGCACACACGAGGGAGAGATTGAAACAGTGCCTTTTAGATGCTTGATGCCAGCAGACTTGGACTGCCTCTCATTCCTGCAAACTCACTGCACTAATCTATTTTTAATTTGCTTAGTGTTGAAGGGCTCATCGAGATTGTGAAGCAGCAGCAGCATTGCATGAGAAGAGAACATTTTCTACCAGCTTCCAAGCCACTGATAAAAAAATACAAATAAAGGGGCAAAAACAAAGTTGTGTCAATGTTGAAAAGAGTATAGTAATCTGCCATTAGCAGTTTCATTTAAACAAAAATTAATGAGGCTTGCACAAAAAATAGAGTATACCACTTAGGATAAGTAGCATTCCACGTTTTCCACAAGGCACCGAACAAGACAAAACAAACTTGAATGGGAGATAGAGAAGCCAAGTTCATTGTGTATAAAGGAGAACTAAAAAAAGTTCCTTAATGATGAATGAACCACACTAATTCATACTCAGACAAGCCAGAAATAATAAACTATAATGGTCATTTTGAGCTTTTAAATTAACTTCTCAAAACTAAACTTTTAGTTTTAAAGTGCATCCACAGATCGATTTTTAACGAGGCGAAAAGACCTACTTCTTAACACGGATGTGTTTTTTCTGCAATTGACCAGACGTCTACAAAGTTAATCTACTACTTCCTTTAAAATATCATCCATTTTTGAGTAATGCTGTGTAAATACACACATTTAGAACCATTTTGCTGCACATCGCTTTTGACAAACTAACGAGCCTTCTCCCTTCAGAGAAACGCAATTTTGAAGCATGGCTCTGAGGCAAATACAGCCCTGGTTTTGTGACACCCACCTTGTGTAAAAGACCAAGAAGCAAATCACGGGAGTAACCCCCGTTTGTCTCATCATCTTTCTTACTCTTCCACTTCAACTGAAAAAGAGAGGAAAACAAAAGTTGTTAGGGGATACATATTCTGTTGTTGCAAGACCTTTCACCTCACAAACTACTGGAACACATACCTCTCCGATGACGAGCAGAGTTTAACATTAATTCCAATAACAAGAACCATGCCAAGAAAGCAGAGCTAGAGGGCAGGTCTTAAATATTTGGAGAGCACCCACCCACCTGTGAAATCTGCAGGCATTTAGCAGTGAAAGTGTTATAAGAACACAATCTGAAATTAATACAAAGCAGTCACTGTGCGCATCTTATATCTCATTTCATCATGAAAATCTAGAACTCTCCTTGGTAGCTCACTAGATTACATTTTCCACATATTGCACATTTGAGACCTGGCAATGTGTTTGCCTCCCATTCATAACCTTTTGTTTTCCAGACAGGACCTTCTGTTTATTTTCTTATGACACTATAAAAAAAAAGATGTTTATATAATCTGAAAAGCTTCTGTGTGATATTTAATTTAGTACCGTATTTATTATCCTACTTGCGCTGCATTGTACCCTAATGTGATCTGTGTGATTTTTGTGTTTCTACATAGCTCGCTTGCCCATTTCATGAAATAAAACAAGCCTCTTAAATACAGTCTGATAGGAAGCATATGCTAGAAGCAAATTAGCACCAGATAATTCCACAAAGATCCTTTTAGAAGCATAATTTACTCATTTGTGTGCATTACTGATATACCACCATAAACCATTTAACCATTCATCATTATTATACAAAGAATTTTACTTTGTTGAAACTGTCAATAAAACCTGTCTGGTCACTGTACTAAAAAACTAAGACAACTGAAGGCACAGCTGACTCCTGTGACACTGTCGAGAGTTTTTTGCATTATGTGGAAACAACAGAGCCTTTATAAAAACTTAAGGACAGACAGCCTTTGGCAACAGTGCTATGTTCTGAAGGCATCTGGTTACCTAAGGGACACTCAGCTGTCTTTGAGTGGATCCTATACAGTATTTCAAAACAGCTTTGAAGACAGAAGAATAAATTATTCCTGAGTATAAAGAAATGCTTTACTATGACAGGATCAAAGAACTGAATCTTTTTAGTTTTGAACAGAGATTACGAAGGGACCCGACACAAAGGGAAGTAAGGGTATGGAGTAGGATAACCAGGAAAACTGATACCTGGCTTACTTCAAGAAATGGCTAGACGAGATTCTTGGATCAACTAGCTACAGTACTTCCAACAATGAGCCTCCTCTCATGTGTAACCTTTTCTCATATAAAAAAACTATCATTTATTGCCATACCAGTAATATTAACTTTTATTAAAATGAATTATTACACTGAAAAAGACAAATGTCAAAAGAAACAGATGCAGATCTTCTTACTAAAAGGCTGTAAAACAGATGAAGTATTTTAAAAGTGTTTGCTGATCCTGTGAAAAGCAGAGTGTCACTGATGGTTTCCCATTCAAACTCCAGAGCTAGTTCTGACTTGCCAAGATTGTAGTTGGGGTGAAAAAGCCAAAAGTGTTTTTAAAGGATATACATCTGGTCTTATAAACTAAAATAAATTGAAAATGAGTGTGATCCTCTACAGTTGCAAGCACAACAAACAGTACCACCTTTGTTAACAGCCTCCACAGCGCTCTGAAAGCCCTCACAAGTTAAACTAAAAAAAGTTGAGTTCCAAGGGTTGCTCAACCTGTAAAGGTAAAGGTGTTTGTTCAGAGCTCATATGATCATAGTGTGGAGCACTGTGATCCAAATGCCTCTATCCCTAGACCATGTAACTAGGCAGAAGTTAGTGGGACACCCCAAGTGGCAGAACATCATTGGTCGAGTGCCACTGGAGACAGGACTGGCATTAACTGCCAAGGCTCTCATCATTCTGGCAAACTGAGACTCCTGTGATTGCTCGGTGCCAACAGCACCTGGGAACACCTAAGAAGTTGCTGAGGAGACTTAAAACAACTGATGATTACAAAACTTTTTTCTACCAGTTTCTCTGAAATTAAAAGAGGCTCCTTTTTCTTGCATCCTGAAGTGTGTTAAGCATTTTCATTCATTTACTTTTACAACTTACAACAGCTACTGTACACTGCCAATATACAACTTCCTCCAGAAGTCTATAGAAAAACAGATTTTCACAGCAGTGTCACATGCTTGTCCATCTTATTATTTATACATTAAACACAGAGGATACAGAACCATTAAATTACAAAGACAGTCATCATTAAAACACAGAGCTGACAGTTGAATAACTTTTAATGTCATAATTGTGATTAAAACAGCAGTGAAAGAATTAATTCTTAAAATCATCAACAGAAATATCCACTTAGGTATTCAGATTTTATTTAAAAGGTTTACATCTACACAGTAGACAAGCATTTTACATGAGCTGCAAAATCTTACTCCATGAGTTCAAAATCATTCGGACTGAATTCGGATCAGTAGGGGGCACTCACCCTGTGGCCTGTGTGGGTCCTAATGCCCCAGTAAAGTGATGGGGACACCGTACTGTAAAGAATGGCACCGTCCTTCAGCAGGCCTTAACCAATCATGGCCTCCTAATAATCCTCATCTCTGAGTGATTTCATTAGTCTGTTCTCCTCTCCACTAATAGCTGGTATGGTGAGCATACTGGTGCACATTAGCTGCTGTTGCATCATCCAGGTGGGGACTACACATTGGTGATGTTGGGAATGGAGTCCCCATTACCTGTAAAGCACTTTGAGTGGATTGTCCAGAGAAGGACTATATAAGTATAAGGAATTATTTTTATTTTGCATCACCTCAGCAGGACATGTACAACCTTAAATGGAATATGTAATCTGGAAACTAGGTTACCATATTACAACATATCTTCCCAGGGGCCACCAGAAAATAAGATAAGATCAGACTTTATTGATCCCGGCATGTCACTGTACTCAGTGCAATCCAAAACAGATATTCCATTAAGTTAAGGCATAAATACCAAACCTACATTAAAAAAGATACAAAATAAACATTTTTAGATATGACATTCGAAAGTGAAAAAAGATTAACAATGATATTGATTACATGTTTAACTACAAACCAGACTGTCTAATTCACATTAAATGATTAACTGCAAAAAAACAGGTTATATAACCTTTAAGGTTTTGTTTTACATAGTAATTGTCTTCTACTGGTAAAATTAAGCAATAACATTGGTTATTGCTCATAGATTTGTTTACTACTATAGTTCATTTGTTAGTGGAAATTTAGTGGAGACAGGCAGCAAACAAAGCAGAATTCCAATAGAAATGAAAACCAAAAACACTCTTTATTATATACATATCTAGCAGATGCCTTAATCCAACCAGAATTATAAGGATTACTATTATTAAAATACAATACCTTATATTAGTGGTTTGCAACCTGCAGCTTCAGGGCCACATGTGACCTTTCAAAACATAAAAGGTTGCCAAACTGTAAATTGTCTGGGATTCTAAAAACCAAACAAACAATTTTCCTAATGTTAGAAACATTTTGCAACCAGTTAACCCATTTCAAAAGATTTAAATAAAAAATAAAGAAGCTTGTGGTTTCACAATTGATGAAGAATTTGTTCCCATATAAGGCCAAAAGAGCCAAAAACAAATTAGATAAATAAGCCTGAGAATGCTGAAGTGTTTTAAGTTGAGAAGGTTCTTTAAAGGAGATGAAAGTTTTCACTTGACCTCCTACATATAAGTACCATACAAAAGCATGTACAGCTTCTCTACATCTTGAGAGAAGCAGAACGAAAATGAAACCAAATTTAAACACTATTCGCAATTTAAAGGGGGGGTAAAGTTGAAACCATGTGTGATGTTTGAATTCCCTCAGTCTTCATTCACTAGGAGACAAAGCACATTAAGCATGGACTTACAAATATGACATGGTATGTTACTGACTTAAGAAAAAAAACACTTTACTGGTGTGCTAATTTAAACCAGTTATTGTTGGAATTAATAAATATATCATGCGTGCCACACTCTGTTTAAACCATCAGCTCCTTGAAGCTATGTATTAAGAGGCACACCGCAGTTAACCTTGGAGGAGAAATAATAAAATTTGACAGTAACTGATGGCCGTATCTTTGAATCTCGCTTGTAACCCCCTGAAGAACTAATTTATGATATTAGATTTAAGAAGCCATTGTCTGAAGGTTTTAAAACAAACAAATCTAAAAAAAAAAATCATTTCAGACTCTAAACGATATGCAGTTGTGGTTAGTTGTCTACTCCTGTCATCTATAATAAAACGCACATGAGTAAAAATATAGTGCACAGACACGCAAGCAAGCGAGGTCCGGTTTCTGCTTGAATGGAGGCATAAAATATTGATCTGTATGTGAAACTGAGAAAATATTTGGTGAGCATTACTATTCTTGTGCATTCTGTCTGTACCAGTGATGTATACAAGGTTAGTATACCTAGTAATAAAATGTATGATTTTCCTGCCCATTTATATACACTTACTGCCCCAAATTTTAGAAACCCTCAAGAAGTCATCTGACGGTGATCCTGCTCGAGCAATAGAGTATGACAGGGTTCAAATATTGAAAAGACTTGTGGAATATGTGCCTCATCCTGTTCTTGCTGATGAAAGAGGCCCCATTAACGTGTGGGGTTTCTTAATATTTTCAGTAGCCGTTCAATGGTATACTGCCTGGTATTACAATTTTGATTTGGGAACTTTGCTCCAACAATGAATACTCTTCTATTAACAAAAACTAGAACTATGTTCAGTCAAAGTGATGGTGCCTTGCAAGAATATTCCAACCTCTCTCCATTGTTTCCCTTTTTTTTAAATTACAAAATGATGCATACACAAGTTTTTACCTAACTATTGCATTAAAAACTACAATGCTTAAACTAAAGACTAAGAGGTAAGGGTCTTCATCTAAGGGTAAGATGAGATACAATAACTTTTTCATAGCGCTTTCTGCTTTGAATGCGAGGAGCTGTTGGTTGTGTATATAACAAATGTTCAGGTGGGTAGCTGCGTCAGCATGCGTAGGCTGCAAAGGAACAAGTAATAGGTTTATTCCATGCTGAAAAAAAGAAGAAAGAGAACACAACGTTTCGGCCGTGGAGCCTTCTTCATTAACATAACAAATGTTAATTGCTACTCCAAATTGTCCGACCTGCAAGCTTTAAAGCGGCAAAATGGAAGATTTTGCAAGGGTCTGAAACTTTTGCAAGGCACTGTATTTCAGTAAGACAGATTAGAGAGGGGCAATTGAAATTGTGGGGCAACGCCATTTTATTAGCATTTCTGGTCAAAACATAACAGCAGCTGAAGGACACATTTCTGGATGTTTTAATTAAAGCTCAACAAAAACAAAAAGCTTCAAGTAATCAGTAAGGTTCTCGTGAAGAATGTGCCTAACTCAAAGCCACGGTGTAATATTGCAATACTGAGGACAAAACTGGTTCAGTATAAAAGGTATTTCTAGAAATCAAGAATAGTGAAATGATTATCATTTAGGTTTCAAAAACCATCTCAAAAATGTGTTTTCCCACAATGTTTCTTTCTGATCGGCTGTAACGTCTTTCCCCATTAATCTCCATGTATCAAACTCACAACAGCATGTGGGCGATACCCAACATTTTGTCTGTTGCTGCATATTGCTTGTGTATACAGTATACAGTATTACTAGTAGCCTAAACAACTTTGGAAGGGTGATAGTTAAGTGAAGAATTAATGCATTCCACCACTGGCTAAATGCTACAGTCCATTTGAGATCAATCCCAAACACCAAGACCACAAATAACCAAACATTCTGGGGAAAAAATATAAATCAAATTAAGTATTACTGTTATATGGTCCTTTTCAAAGAACAGCAGCATGTTTTTACATTGGATTTACAGAATTCAAATTCTGTTTAAACAATTTAGAGTACATTAACAAAAATAATCCATTCCACTTCATCCTATAGATAGCTGCAGAATGCCAGAGCATAACCCAGCAAACAAGACACACACAATTTGCAGACACCAAGGGAGAAGGTTGAAGCAGCCAAACAAAACATACAAAAGAAAATGCTAACTCCACACAGGAGGCACACAATTCAAAAGGACCCACGACCTGTGATGGAGCACTACTAACTGCAAAACCATCTGGTTGCCCCAAAAAACAATTTGGAAATACAGTATAGCTGCAAGAACAGATCCATAAGTGACCAAGACATGACTTTCATGAGAAGTTAAAGGTCACGATAAGAAAATATTTTATGGAAAAGTACATTTTATTTCCTTGATGGGTTCCAAATAATAACCATGACTTTATCATGAGTTGTATAACACAATATTTCATTTATCATTATATCCATAAGCACATAAGGGTTCCCACTTGCATCCCACAGTAACCATGGCCCTTTATGCATTAATTATGGAGTTAAATGGCATTTTATTTGGTCAGGAGGACCAGACAGGTCCACAACCTTACTTGTTGCACAGTCATGAGACCAATTGGCTTTAGAGGAATATTATCACCAAAGGCTGCTATTCAGAACAGAATTTATACGCTCTACCTCCTGCACACTGTTGTTCTGATCTTGATAAAGAAATTACAACCAATCAGAAAGAAACAGTCTGTGACTATTGAGTAGCCTACAACATTCATCTACAGATTTATTAACATGCATGGAAAGACATGAATATTAAGCCCATCTGAAATACTGTATGACTGTCTAATGAAAACTATGCCTTTTAATGGAACATATGCCAAGTTTGGTTCTGATTGGCCGAGCACATTCAATGAAAACAAATCCAGTCACTCATAGCATGTGACCTATCCACCTGTTAGACAAGTTTAAATCTTGGACATGAAGCAACATTGTGCAGCAGGTTTCCGATGTGTGCTGTTCTTGGTTTCAGAGAAAATAATTTGGGGGTATTGCAAGAAGCTCCTGTAAATTCACTTAACTGAGCCACGTTTTGTGAACAACATTTAACCTACGTGTTCCTTTCCATATTAAGATCTATGCGAGTTCTAGAAGTACAAGATGTTATATGACACTGGCACAATGTACCGCCAAGTCAGAATGCTACTGTACATATACAGTACATATTACCTAGATTTTTACATTGATTAGTTTGTGGCAGCCAACCATCTTATTATGAACATACGCTTCATATTATCATGGATGTGTCATAACACAGCCCAATAGTTATAGACCTCTATTCTGCTTGGTTTCAGGGAGCAACAATTTTCAAGATTGCCAAAATTTACCTGACTGGTACAATGTGCACTGTACTGTGACTACTTATCATTGGCCTTTCACCTGCCTATAATATTGCTCAATGTTTCTGGATTTCATAGGCATGTGAAAATTACAGAAGAAAAAATAATCCACACAAGCAACCTTGTTGCTTGGAACCTATTATACCTTTTAGAATGTCCTCAAAATGATATCTACCAGGTTAACCAAACCCAGGGAACAATGAAGCATAGAAAAATTCATTTCCACTCAGATATTTGTCAATCAGGTCATGCGTGACTTTAGGCTCTGCCAGATAGTCTCACATGCAAAGAGTTTGATTAAATCAATTTTTGACAAATACATCACTTGTTCACTGTAGACAACTGGTTACAATGTAGTCCCATTCATGGTTATACACACAAAAACACAACACTTATAAGAGGCTAGGCTTCTCTAGATGTAAGACATACTGTACACGGCTGTGCAAAAGTCCTTGCTCTGTTTTCACTTTTTTATTGCTTAAAACTTGCAATAATGGCACTGTGACTTAACAATTAATGTTATATACACAACCTACTTCACATACAAGTATAGGAAGTATAAAACAAAAATAATTCAACTGATAATATGCAATCATGGCTTTCCATTTTCTTTCAAAAGTATTCTAAACATTTGCAGTGGCAAACCTTAATAAAATTAAATTAATAAAAATGACCCTAAGGAACCATACCTACTTTCGGTTAGAGGGCCGTTTGCAATAACTGTGTTTCACATGATTTCAGAATAAATGAGCCTTTGAAAGATGCCTCAGTGAGTGAATTTCAAGCTAGAATTCAGAGTTAACTAAGCAACTGTCATTAGGCAGTTGGCGATACCCAGTCACTGCCTAGATAAAGTTTTTCCTCCAAACCGAGCATCCGGACAAGAAGAAAACTGGTTAGGGATGCCACTGTGAGCCCAACAACAGTGAAAGGGTTACAGAGTTCTGGGAGAAAGAGTACAAAGGCTGAGATGGGAGGAAATAGCCATGAGTCACACGTTCATAGGTCTGAATATATATGCAATCAACATATTTCATTTTTTTCCCTTTTGTTTTTGTTTACATTTACTGTAACCAAAATATGAATTTGAATACAATACATTCATATATATAAATATTTGAATACAATACTAAGTGTATGCATCATTCTTTAATTTTACAAAATGGAACACCATAGGAAGAGTCTTAGGAATACTTTTGCAAGGTACTGTAAATAACCTTCTTATACATTTTAACCTAGAATCAGAATACGACCGCTATATTATGAAAAACTGGATCAGGAATTTGCATTGGAGACATTACTGATTAGAAATAAAAGACTTTTCAGTAGGACCAACATCTCTGAGATTTGTCTGTGACATGCCACCTACCTCTTGAAGAATTGCTGTCTTTTTTATTTGCTTCTTAATCTATAGGACATTCTTTAAAGCAGTCAATACTTCTAAACAACATCCAATAGATTCAGGTTTGCTCATAAAAATAGTAAGATCCCTACACAGATTGCTTTAATGGGCAATTAGTAACTGTGATCTATATGGTGGTCACAGCATATAATGCGGTGTCATTATGTCAAAACCCAAAGTGCAGGACAGAAATTTATTGTCCAATTCTTGGACCTTTAGACCTTCAGAGGGGGATAAATGTAACAAATGTTCTACTTCATATAAGACTCTCTTTACAAATCTTCCTTAGGTGCAACAATTATTGTTTTAAAATGTTGACCATACTACCTTGTTGCAATCACAATCCAACACTTGATTGGAATAAAATACACTTTTTCTTCAGATTTAGACATTTTGGATAAAAGGGAAAAGGGTTTTTGCCAATGAGCAATCATTTCAAGCACTGTCCCTGCAATTTGTAACTGGAAGATGCATCCACATTGATTGGGATCAGACATTGATGTGCTTAGCATCCTATTAAAAAGACTTTACTTTGGGTATTGTGGTACAGTAATGGTTATCTTTATTTTTTCTGAGAGCTGTAAGGTCTTGTTTGAAAGTCAGGTGGTCATTCTTCGGATGACTTACTTGTCATTAAGCATTTCCTAGCAGATTACACATTTCCTCACATATTCCAAAAGCCTGGATTGACACTGGTCATCATTGCCATCTTGTATTATGTCCACATCTGACCTGGACTAGTGTCTTTACAAATTTTGTGCAACACTACACTATGCATTTTCTTGCCAACCTTTAATATTTGATTTCACTGCTGAAAACACAAAGAGTAGTTAGTTTATTGTTAAAGATATTATTCCTGTAGTGAATTCCTAAAGTATACATTCCCCATGTTTCCTTTCAGTTGCTAATTTAGTTATGGTGCTCTGGATAATAAATTAAAGCTGGAATAAGGTACAGATAAAATAAATAGGCAGTATTTTTACTACCCCTAATGTTCTGCTATACAGTGCCCTGGTTTCAATCATGACTGCTATAATCACAAATATTCCACTGGTTTTCTAAGAGTTGCTTTCCTCTCAATGTCCCCTGACCCAGTGACTCCCTGGGACACCACTGAATAATTCCAAAAGAGCTATCTGCAAGAGTCACGCAATACTCCCCTGACCCCTATTCACCCAATCGAAAAGCAATATTTTAATGTCTTACTTTTAATTTGGGGGTCACATGTGTGTCGGATCGTGTTCCACCCTGAGTGCCTGTGGGAGGGAAGACGAGATATTTGAATTTTGCCAAAATTAAGAAAGAACAGTATAAATAACCTGGACATGTCAGGGAAAGGGAGGAAGGGGGGAGGTGGTGCACACGCGGTCAAAGAGTGATGGAGGGGGTAGCTCGACTAGAGGGACAGGAACAAGCTGCACTTCTGTCAAATGTACTCTAACACTGTTGTATCACTTGCTGGTCTCACACAATTTTTTTTAATTCATTTTCTGGCTCCAGGAACCACACTGTTGATCTAACCGGCCTTTCTGGAATGAAGATTTCCGAGAAACGAGGAATGCAGAGGGCCTTCTTGCGTGCAAGCGGAGAGCAGACTGAAAACAGCATCCTTGCGTGCCTGCCTTGTTTGAGGCCTCGATGGGGGTTCTGTCCTCTCATTACCTGTTTTTCTATCATTCTTTCACCTTTTTTGTGTTTTTTTTTTTAGCCCAACAGAACCCAGCCTTATTTCCACTTCAGGAGCTTTTCCATCCAGTGATAACAGAAAAGAGGAACGATTGCTTGAATCTCCAATAGGCAGCTTGGAGTCCAAGGGGAAAGCTAGTTTTTGAGAGTCTGAACCCAGCTACAGTATGCCGGCAATTGGACAGGATAGAGTCTGAGATTGTTACAATAAAGCAGATTCCCCTTCTGTTGTACTGCTATGACTTGACTGTGGTGCAGCACATGTGAGCTCTCAAATTGACATGCAGACTCTACTCAAAAGAGTAAATGAAATACCAGATAATGTAAGTCTTGGAAGATCTATGACTCCTAAAAAAAGCCTCTTGAGTGTCTACTAAAGTTTCATATTAATTTTTCAATTAATGCTGGTGTGGCTTTGGATGTTTTGCTATTTTACCACATGGGAGGGGAAGAAGGGGCTCTCGGAGAGAAAGAGAAAATATTAAGAATTGTATTTTGAAGGCTGTGTCACAATACCTTTACATCCTATACAAACACAGTTTGATCTATGATGCAGGGCCCTCCTAGTGAAGGAGATTCCAGGGATGGTGAGGTGCTCCAGGTTTTAATATTGGCATTATCTACTTATTTGAAAGCCATTGAGAGCTTCTGCAGTTCTTGGCACCTGAATTTTCAGCCCTAAGAATGACCTTCGGAAAGAAGGAAGATGGAGTCAGGTGGCCATTTATAGGAGTGCACAGGAATAAGTAAAAACAGGTCTAGCAAAGAAAATACTCTCAGAACGAAGACGGCAACATGCCAGAACCTTAAAATGAGAACAGACATCCATACTGTTCTAGGGTTCAGGCAGCAGTTCCCCATCCCCAGTCCGAATTTTGCTCTAAAAAATTGTCACTGGCAAAAATACATTAATGCACTTAAATACAATGGATATCAGATGACAGACCTTTGCGTTCAAATACAATTTTTTTCACCACACTATAGACAAAGTGCTGAAATGCCACATTTCGTTAATACTAGAAGCAGCTGTTTATTATAGACTTTTGGTATTAATCCATTTCGAAGAGCAATATTAAGGAGTGAGTGGTTCAGAAGGCATAGGGATTAACATCTGTCTTATTCCAATTCCTGAAAGACCTAGTCTGTTTTCACAGAAGTCCTCTCCACATGAGAAAAGCTCTGGAAGGATGACTGCATAGTTTAGTTTTCAAAGAAAATAAATAATAAGACATAACAAGCAGCCCTTGTCTGATTCCCAAGTACTTCACTGAAACACAAACAGCTTTCAGCTGCTTTTTTTTCCCCAAACTCCAAAAAATCCCTGTGCATCCCCACCTGCAGAGTCTGCATGCACATGGAGAATTGTTTTAAAAAGATTTGTTTTCAGATGGTGTTCCTGTCTTTGGATTGTTGTTCTAACTGATAGGAAGCTTTTGGGCTTGTAAGATTCTGTATAACATGACCTGGTTTCAGTTTGAGCTGCCGTGACAGATGACCTGACACTCTGAAAAGGCAGCAATGTGTCAATCAGTGCTGCATATTGTGTTTTATTCGCAGACTAACTTCTTCAAAATTCTCAAATTAGACATAAATGTATCATAGTCAATTTATCGTTATTCAAGTTGAATAATGTATTTTTTTCTTGAAGTGGATACAACCAGTCAAAATCAGGCCTAACTAAAATATTGCTTACCATGTAATTCTACATATACATTGATTGGTGTGCTCTCCATTTGTTAGGACAATGCTTTTATGAGAACTGATAATTACAGCAGCATACTGTTGCTAACTAACACCAAGCACTTAGTGTGAGTGTTTTGTGCTATGGGGACTCTTTGCCAGCGATGAAACAAAACCTAATGTCTAAACCCTAAGGTCTAAGTGAAGACCAGCAAGTGAGAACTAAGAAGGTGTGAATTAAGGACAAAAAACAGGAGGCACTTCTTGACACAAAGGCTTTTGAACATTTGAAACATACTCTATAAGTGACAGGGCCTTCTCCTCTTATTCCCCAAAAGCTCTGGAATTTTATCGCTAAGGATACCACCTTCCCCGAGCTCTTTCAAATCTAGAATGAAAACCTTGTTTTGAAGGGCTTCTTATTTTCCAAAAAGCACTTTGACACTTTGATATAAAAGGGTGTTTGTTGTTATTGTCACACTGCCTAGTCTAGGTCAAAGTGGCCACTTGTCATTCTTATGTTCTTATGAGGAAATATTTGCACAGAGCAAAGTGTCCAGTTTTACTAATAAAAAAACAATGACTGAAAAGGGCCTGCTCCATGTTATCAATAAGAAACACTGCATGTGTTTTCCATAATCATATAACAGGACTTTCATGTTATACTGTGTGTGAGTCTCACAGCACCAAGCAGCAGTATCTGTATGGCATGTGTGCTGTTAGTAATAAGAGGCAATGGCTTAATGTGCTGATAATAAGAAACAGGGTGCACCTTGCTTTGTGTTCGTCCTGTGCACTCTGCCTTCCCGCTCTCGCTGGATCTGTTCCTTTATCAGCTGCTGCTCTTTTTGGAGCTCTCTGGACCCTTCTTCCCGCAGCCGTATGATCTGGGAATAATTCAGAATTCAGAAATCAGGCCCTTACAAGTACACCTCAATTCACAAACCAAAGCATGAATGATATCTTTATGAAATCTGAACAGACAGCACAATGCACTTCAGCATCTTTGACATAATGATTATACATAACCTGGGGTGCTATCTGCATGGGGTTTGAATGTTTTCCCTGTATTCGCATGGGTTTCCTGTGGGTGTTCCGGTGTACTCCCACAGTCCACAGATATACTGGTAGGTTAACTGGCTCCTAGGAAAACTGGCCCTGGTGTGAGCGTGTGCATATTTGTGTTTGTGTCTGTGCGTACCCTGCAATGGACTGGCATCCCATTCAGAGTGTTTCCTGCCTTGTGTCTATTGTTTGCCAGTATAGTCTCCAGCTTCCCCCTGACCCTGTATTGGATAAAGCAAGTACAAAATGGATGGATATATTTTGAGAACGTCTGGGAAAATTCTACGGAAATATCCAATAACATGCTAGACAGTATCCTTCAGAATCTCAGTTTTGCTTCTGAGGAACAACTGCCTAAAGAAGAGCAGACTACTATTGTAAAAGCCATGTCAGTCTAACACTAATGCCTACTGAAGTGACAACTGAGCACTGCCACCTGCTGGCTGTGTTTAATACAAATATCCTGTCTTCTTCAGAACCCAAAAAATATCTGCATGTAATGCTTGAAATCTTTTTAAAATAATGTATTCCAAGCATTGTATAACCCTAAAACAAAAAAATGGGTATATTAAACTATACAGATTATGTGTTTTCAATACAGTGCTGATTAGTGTTATTTTAAAATAACACTTCAAGGCTTGAATAAAACAGACATACAGTATGCACACCTAGACAAACATATAAATAGCCATGTGGTCACTTTAAAGTGCAATTTGTAATTCCTAAGAAATTTTTAGTATACCGTAAAGCTAAATTCTTGTGGCAGTCCCTAATCTTTGGCTTGTGAGTTAAAAGATTTCTTAGATTTCCTAAGCTCTCAAGTCTGTTTTATGTTGTTTTATGCTTGCTATGACCACATTCAGAAACACCATACAATTGGTTCAGAATGAACTGCACGCACAGTTCAAGTATGTAAAAAACAGGATGTTAAATAAACAAAACAAAAACTTGTGTTCCTCCTTGCTGTTTCTATCTAAAAGATTCAGACACTAAATGAGCTGGTGCCTTAATACTCAAATAATAATCATTGTTTTGCTGAAGATTGCATTGTTATCTTGATGAAGATAAAAAAATATGATGGAATAAATAAAACAAACAGTATGCAATACTCTCAAAAATCAAAAGTAAACTGGCTTTCTAGTCACATTACTTTAATAACACTGCTCACCTCCTCTTCTAATGTACGTGTTATTTTAATTTCATCCTCTTCGGCAGACTGAGCTTGGGCTTCCCTCTCTCGGGCCTCCAAGTCTGTGAAAATCAAGATCACTTTATTACAATCAGGCGAGAAAGAGATTCTAGGTTCTTCATAAAATGAATCAGGAAAATCTTAGGTTTTTAAGTTAAAAGATAAAAGCAGTTGACAAAATTATGCTAAACCACTGTTTCTCCTTAGAGCAGAATCCTGCCTATCCAAGTTAAAAATTAGTTGAATGTTTTTTTTTTGTTTATTGTTCAAGAAATGAAAAAATAGCCCTTCACCATGCTCTTCCAATTTCTGCAGCAGAAATAAATAATCGGATTTGAAAGAATATATTGTAAACATTATTTTTTTATGGAAAACACACCACTGCAGTTTGTCTCTTACAGCATAATATGTGGAAGAGGCTTGTTTTTTTTTGACAGATACATAGGATCACAGGCATAAACTGAAGCTTTAAAGTAACACAAGTTACAACTTGGTCTGAAAAATAAAAATATGGATTTTATAAGGGTTTACATTTTAACTTTTATCTGAAAAGAAACTTGAAAAAAAAACACTTCCCTTCTTTGGGTGGTAAGCAAGAACATTAAAACATGAATAAAAGTGTGCTACAGCTATCTTCTTTTGACAATCGTTCTTTATCAGACTTGAAAACACAAAGTTTACCATTCAGAATGAAAAAATGTGGAAATTACATCTGTTAATCAAATAAAATAACCTGCATCTTTCAAGTGGAAATGCAAGAATTTAGCACTGTTTGATTAGATTGTTTTGCAATGTCCTTAGCCATCTTAATAACTAATCTAAACTAAAAGCCAATTACAGTTTCCACAGACATCCTGCTTCCTGATAATAGACAATAGGTAAACAATACTGCACATTAGTTATTTTTTATTGCTATTTCCAATGACAGACAAAAATGTTCCCAGGACAGAAATTAACAGAGGGAGATTTTCTGCTATAAATCATAAGAACAGCCATAACAAGAGCCATAAAAACATTTGAAAATGCCATTTCTCATTTAGAAATCTCTGAGAATGTTGACAGTCACCAAATGTTTTATATTTTATTTGAAAAGCAGATTCGCCTTAGATAAGGTAATTAAGTAAAAAAAGTTTTAATAGAAAAGTACTCTGTTATATTTAACCAGCTTAACCAACATTTTCATAGTGAGGTGATAATGCTGTTAAAAACAAAAGTATTAATTTAGAAGACGCTGCTACAAAAAATGACTTGCAGAGATTATGAAAACAAATTATCAGCAGCTAAATAATTTACAACATAACTTAAGTTACATATCCCATCTGAACAACTTGGTACCAAATGGCAAAAGCATTGCTAGTAACAAAGGGATTTGAACCTGGAACCTTTTTTGAAGGCAGCCCATTGCTTTCATAGCTAAACCTCCAAAGTGTTGCAAATAAGTTTTTTTCCAATATAACTATCTTCTCTGTAGAACCGATTGAAGCATTAGGTATATTATCTGTTAACATCAAACCGACTTCTTGATATTTACAGCTTAGAAATACACTTCACCTAGTTTAATCTTTTTTCTTTTGTCATCAAGTCTTCTGGTTCGCTCTTCAGCTTGCTTTTTCGCTTTGCGAACTTTGTCGTAAGCAGCCTAGGAAGAACATGAAGGGAAGAGTCATTTCAAAGTTAACAAACAAAGCAGTGTCGCAGATAAGCGTAGTTATTTAAAAGTTAAAGTAAAAGCCATTTATAAATCCATGAGAAAACTGTAACTCTGAAAACTTTTTTCTCCAGAAATAACGTGCTCCACATTTTCTGAAATATACTGTTGAAATTTGTAAAATTAGTAAGAGATGCAGTATCAAAGGAATGAAAAAGGGAATGCATTCTGTTTGGGATTTAAAGAAAGCAGTGCAAATTGAGCAGTGCAATGAAATGTAATATTTAGTAGAAATTAGTATCCTTTTAATGGACAAGGACTTTAGCCTTAAAAATCTAGTGCTTTTAAGTTGAAAGTAATAAAGAACCAGAGAGGAATCACATTTAAAGATCACATACATTTCTTTTTTTATCTTTCCTCTCTAATGAAGGTGAACAAATATTGTGCATTCAAATACATTAAGATATGGATAATCCAATAATTTGTCAGTTCCAGGTGTTCATTTTGAATGTTATTCTTATTGTTACATTTTTTCTCACATTTTACAAAACAGCTCTCCTACTTCTGAGTAAGATTGATAAATTTCATGCTTAACAAACCTGTGTCAGATCAGAAATTAATAACACTGATTGACAGCCAATGTTTACTTCATGGGAAGCTTTATTTGAACAACCACAGCTGGGGAAAAGGAGACTTAAGTTACCACTGAACCACGGTTTTGTTTTGCTTTTTAGTAAGAACATCCTTAGAACCACATGTGCGGAACAGAATGAATGGGAAATCAAACCAGAAGGCACCAGTTTAACAGATCATTCATACTGAAGAAAACATCTTCAAATCATTACAAAGTGAAGAGTGGCACTTCTTTTCATTATGTCATCTGACATACAGGGTGTTCCTTGAAATATAGCTGACCTACTCAAAGACCTGTTGCTGTAAGACTGAACTTTTAGCTAGCTTCCAATAATACAGAAAACAATTTTAGTGATCAGACAAGAAGTCTGCACAACATTTTTAAAGTAGTGATCTATTCCAGAATGGGTTTTGCTTTGTCATTGTCACTGGCAGGCAGTGAAAACTAAAGGGAAATAAAGCAGAATTCATTGAATACAAGCTACTGCACATGTTGGTTTGAAGGAAGATAAATGGAGATAATTGAGAAAATGCACAATGCAGTGCCCTTTGTGAAAATCTAGGAGTGGTCTATGGCAGTCTTACCCTGGCAGCAGCATCAGTGAGGATTTCTAAAGCCTGGGACAGCTGGTGGAAGAGCTCAGCTGAAAAGAAAGCAAAGAGCACCATCAGAGCACATATACAAAAATGGAAAAAACAAACACAAAATTAAATTCACACCACATGCATATGCAGAAAAGGAATCTTTAGTCTTGATAAGAATGACAATACACTATTAAACCTGCAGGCCATGTTTTTATGTGTTCTGAAGAAAAATTGCATTTCATTAACCAAAGACCTTTCGCATCCCTCGTAGTCGAGCACTACCACAGTAGAAACTAATTTAAAATAACATTGAAGGGTGGTTCTTTGAAGACTCTGCATGACAAGAAACAAAAGTAACCCTTTCCATGACACAGACAAATTAAGAAGCGGTCATGTCCAAAAGCAAAACTTGATCAAATAAAGACAGTCAAATTAAAAGGCTTTTAAAGACGTTCAAAAAGACTTTAAAAAGAGTGGGTGGACAAAACGAGGCGAGACAGGGGTTAAGCAATGAACAGAAGTGTACTGTTCATCGACTCAGTGCCAAACACGGCTGATATTAATTGAGACATTTCCTGCAAAAAAACGTGCTTGAAGTCTCACGCAGACTGTTTCCTCTAATGATATGCTGTGAATTTTCTCACGTAAATTCCTGATTCTTTCTGTCAAACAGTGGGGTCCGCAGAAGGGCAGAATATGTACAATGCACCGCTAACCCCCAAACCTGAACCTGCCCCCTGCCATCGCTTGGGCTTAATAACTCTGTTGAGATTTTTTTTTATATATATAATGAGCTGCAGGAATCTTAGGTTTCGCCTTTCTCCTGGCTTGGGGGAATACAGATTAATGGCGGGAATTTAGTACATGTGAGAGTAAAGTTACAGCCTCCTGTTAAGGGTTCAGAAATCTGTCGACTTTATAATGAAACATAAATAAACATGTCACGCTACTCCCAGAAATCACAGAATACCACAGAGGAATTCCAACCTGGAACTAAAGGAGTTGTACACAAAGAAGAGCAGCTCGGGATCGGGCTTTGGAGCGGAGGAAATGACAAGACTCAGACTAAGGTTCCCCATTCCTAGTTCTACACATGCTATTCTCAATGGCAGTATCATTGACAGAAAACAGTTTGAACAAATAAGGTTTTGTTTTACTGTTAATGTTCAGTGACAGAAACCGACATCTATCTTGAACAGTAAAACATCTTCATGGCCAGTCTCTCAAACTAAAGAGTAGAAATTATGAAGTCTTAGAAAAATTAACCTAGAATATTGGGATAGTGTGGATAGAGATAAAGACGTTGAAGCCATTTAGAGCTGCTCTGCACTCCTAAGGAAAGACAATGAGAAAGCACCGTAAGAGACAATGGATAAATAACTTTAGTTCAAATAACTTTCAAACTGCCAAAGTGATTCTAATTCCACTGCATCTGTCACTGCCTTTTCCTTTAGTGTGACCAGGTAGCTTCCCATTCAACCCAAGAAATTCTTAACTGAATTATTGCAAAGGTTCTGGCTTCCTAAATTTTAGTTTGTTGTCCACATGTGGGTCTGGAGCTGTCTTCCCCCTCCCCGGCCTTCACACACATACACATATCTTCCTTGTCAGTTAATCTGGCATAATGCAAAGAGATCCAGGGACCACAGACCTCATTGGAAAACATTCTACTGATTTTCAGGGTGCATTTTTCACATTCAAATTATATTTAAATTTCCGAAACTGATTGTTTGCATGTTTCTTGGCATAAGGCCTCAGGAGAGTTTCAAAGACAGAAAAACATGCATCACCTCAGAGTGGCTACTTATGCAATTACAACCTAATATTTCTGGTTACGCGGTCCTTTGGGCTGGGGCCTTAGTCACCAGAGAATTGCTGTAGCTGGTTAGGTTGCATGTTGAAGGCCAAACAACTCATGGGGATGTGGCCCGTCTGCAACCAGAAAGGAGTTTAAGAACTTCACAAATTACAAGTACTCCAAGGCTTGGAGGGGTATCCTACATCTGTACCGATTTGTTTTAATTTATTTTTTAACTAGTATACTCCATACATTCTATAGCTAATAAAAAAGAAAAGGTTTGGTAAATTTGGTCAATATACACTAGACATCTAAAGAAATATATCATTATTTATGGTGGGTAGCTGGATCAGCATGCGTCAGCTGCAAAGGAACAAGAATTATGCTGAAAAGCATGGAATAAACCTATTCCTTGTTCCCTGTCATTATTTTTACTATATGTGCATGTTTTTACAAAAACAATACAGATTTTGGATATTGTTTTTGATATCATCTTCGGTAAGCGATTCATGACCCATGACTGACTGAGATACACTTGACTGACTTGAATAAACATTAAATCACCTCAGCACAAACACTACTTAGTTAATTTTACACACAGACTGGAATGCTTCCAGGCCATAAAAAGAAAAGCTACAATGGCCAAACTGACCAGGCAGAGAGGCTACAATGAGAAAAAACCCTTGCCGAACTACTGGTTTAGTGAACACAGCCTGGCCACAGAGGGCGACACAGACAAACCTGGCAGTCCAGAGAGGACCTGCTACGCTCCCACTGCCGCTAGGGAGAAGCAGAGACAGTGTTGCACTGCAAGATATACCTGAGAGTTAGAGAGTCATTCTTCCCCCCAAAATAACCAGTAAACTATCAGAATTCCCTGTGTCACCTGAGTCAGTTTTTCCAATCCTAATGGAGAAGGGGCCAGGAAACTCAATACAGCTAGCAGCCATGTTTGTGATCCCCTGTTACTGCCTGAGGAAGAGCGAGGATCTAAAATAAATAATTAAATAATAATAAGAAGAAGAATACCATGCACCACAAGGGCACAGTGGTTAGCACTGTTATTCATTTCCAGAAACTAGGTGCTATCTGTGTGATGTATAGATAACATCCCCATGTTAACAAGGGATTCCTCCAGGTTTCCTCTCATAGTCCAAAGACATACAGATAGGTTAATTGGGTTAACTGGCCCTGATGTGAGCATGTGTATGTGTGCCCTGCGATGATCTGGCATCCTCTCCAGGGTGTACCCTATCTTGCACCCGTTGCTTGCCGAGATAGGCTCTGGCTTCCTTGCAACCCTGAATTGGATGAAGGGGTTACGAAATGGATAGATAATAATATTAATGATTATAAATCTCTTGCTAATTCTTAACGATTTTGAAAGACTACAATTCCTCAGTCATCCCAATAAAGCTCCTTGAATTTGTAAAAAAAATTAGTTGATTGAGTTCATGGTATGAAATGATTTAACCTGTTGATTGTCAAGCTTAATGCACTTATCGGGAGAACAACACCTTAATGTCATAAGTATGATAGACTAAGCCCAGTCTTAAGTTACTTGATGTCTGGGGTGTGAATTTCTAACTTTGTAGCCAAACACAGCAGACTATGAGACATAAACGGTTTTAGGTCAATGGGGATGGGTAGGACTGTCTAATGATTGAGTGCTACACTGATCAAGCCCTAAGACATCACTTGCTGCCCTTTCTGTGGGATGATCTTGATGTAACAATATTCCTGCAGTAACAATAAGACATGTCCTTGCACTTCTAGTATAAAATTTGACATCTCATACAGTACTACTTTTCCAAGTTCTGTGAGTAGAAAGGGACAAAATCCCACAAAGAGCATCTGCTCTGCAACCCAGTGTAAACTACAGCTTACATTGTTTTCAACACTGGGTACACAGACATACATGTACAGTATTACTAGATATTAACAATAGACTCCACATTGCTTATCCCTGATAATCACAAATATTAATCAGCATTAAATTTTCCCATATAATATCTTTTCAATAGACTGTCACTATGCCTGCTACAAAAAAAAAACAACAATTGCCATTCTCTGGATAAGAACTTAGTTGCAATTACATGTGATATTTTTCTTTTGCCGCTCATTAATCCGATTGCCTTCTCCAGCAATTGGTGAAACAATTAATGTGGTTGTTGGAAAAACCTAAAGCAAGGAAGGACAAGATTTTGTTAACAAAGGGTTAAAAGATAAACCACAAAAGCTTTGATTAATCTTTAAGTTTCTACAGTTTTGTCTACTCACCTGCTTTGGGGTTATCTGGGTTCTTGTCAGGATGGCATGTCAGTGCTTTTTGTCTGTAGGCTTTCTTGATCTTCAAGAGGCAAGATAAAAGCACGGTTAATACAGAGTCCTAAAAACTCACACTGAGAAGGAGTGAAGTCTGGTACTCATACAAGTGGGAACGTGCCAAATTAATTCTCATCGACAATCAAATCAAATTCACATAGAGTTTACACAGAACAGTTTCATGTAGGTATGTTCTGTGTCCTTCTACACATGCAAGCTATCATAGTGCTGTATACTGTTATTTTGCAGGGAAATGTGTTTCACATGATCCGATTTGTAAGTGTACTTAACAGTACACAGTTTTCCTGATCAAGCACGCTAAACAAAAAATTGTTCTGATTCAGACACTTAAATCAACTGAGCTGTGGGAACAGTTCACCACCACACAGGTCTGTTTAAGGATATTGGAAAAATAGTTACCAGCACATTCTTAACAGCAGAACCTGAAAAACAGCCAAACTTGAGGTCCCTATAAAATAAGTTAAACCTTTATTACCAAAAAGAAAAAAAGGCTGTTTTTAATGAAGCTCTTGAAAGATGATGGGTATTACTATGGGATTGGACTGAGGTTCATTATTCAGAAGAACAAAAAAAATAAGTCGGAAAACTATGGCGCCCTACCTTCTGGCAAAAGGCTTAAAAGTCCTTATGGCAGAGCTAATTTAAGCTATAACAATAAACAATTGCAGACTCCTCCATTACATTTCAAGCTTAACCTTTGTAATAAGACATGAAAGGGGAATATTGACACAGATTTTAGCTTGCAAGAGACCTCAGCTACTGAATACTGTTCTGACCTTGAACCTGAAGCTAGTAGCATGTGCCGTCTGTTCGTTTCCTGCTTTGACAAGAAAAATTGCAACTGCTCTTTTTAAATTAAATGCCTAAATGGTAAACTATTCTATTATCTATGGAGAAAACGGAATAATAACCTAAGACAATATTTGAAAAAATGTGCAGAAGAGGTGTACAACTGCCTCTGATAGGATGCCACTGTACTTCAGACTATAGTGTGGAAAGAAACAAAAGGAATTGCTGGAAGTTTGACTCTGAGAAAATAACTGAAAAATAACTGATTTGTAAAATGCTCACGCTCCTCCACACACATTCCCTAAGAAGGCTGCCCAAGACTCTAAATATTAGTTACCATTTGCCCAAGTACCATATAATTTCATTGCCTTATTGAGGCCTTTTATTTTAATATCCTGTGGGTCCCAGCACAGGATTAACATAATATACAGTACTGCCTAGTTTAGTTTCTTTCTCCATTCTCCAATGGGTAAAGCTACTATATAAATTTATTCAGCTGTCATTATTAGCCATTTATACAGCTGGGCATTTATGGTAGCAAATCAAGTGAATTTCAGGTGTTACAAATTACAAAGCCCTAACCATGCCCCACACTTTTTTGTTATTAATTACTGATGGCTTAGTAACAGAGAAAAACGTGATTCTTCTTCTCTGTTAAGCGCATAGTAAATAAGGGATAATACATTAACTTCACTCTGAAACAAGCAGTGGCCCTGATACATATTTGTACATCACTAACACACATTTGAGCCACTATGAAGCTGTGTTTGACAGAGGAAGTTGAAAACCCTCAAAGAAGACTTAAAAATGGTCTGAGGGGAGACTCCTGCCATGTTTAATGATGAAGTTGAAGAAAAAGGCTTTTGAGTGAGGGCACCCAGTTCCAGAAAATGTGTGGAAGAAACTTATCCTGAGCTGAAAATGTATCCTTGCTAAGCAAGAACACAAGAATGAAGAGGAACAGAAACCAGATTTATAGGGGCATATTTAAAGATATACCATATAAAAAAAATGGGTAAATGCATATACATTGTATGCATATGCATTATCTGCACACATACTAACCAACATTGTGCAAAATTTCAAGAAGCAACAGGGCCGATGCTCTGAAAATGTGCAACCTATTATTTTTTAAGCAGTTTCTCAATGTGTGTATTGGCCACCATGACAGTACAGAGCAGTTTGGCAGTGCAGTTTCCTGACACTTGCCTTGCTAGGTCTGAAACAAGAATCATCCTTTGGAGGTACACTTAGCAGTCTCTCTGATTAAGGCAGTATTTGCTGAATGAGAAAACTATTTTAATTACAAAAGAACCATCAACAACCCAGAATGCGTATAGTAGGCAAATGTTTGTTCCTTAATGTATGGTAATAGATCTTAAAATACATTGCTTTATGTTCAGTGTGTCTCTGATTTCAAACTTGAGAAATAAACACAAGCTTAATGATATTTTAAGGTAAAACATTAATTCTGATTTAGTGTTATTAGCCGGTGATAAACAATCCCTAGGAGCAAGGCTGGTTGTAATTGTGGTTTTTGGCCTGTGGATAGCAAAACTCTCAGCCTTCGTGGTCTAGGAGACTAGTATTCTCCACCAGGTTTATTTTTAAACGCACTCTTAGCAGGGATAAAGACAAATTTAATTCAAATTTCAAGGCATTATTTATTCCTGTTATTCCTATTTTTGAATTTTCAATAATTAGGGAACAATAAAAGAGACAATAAAATATAGTCAGGGTCTAAGAAAATATTCCCTTTGTTTTTGCCTGTAGCAATTTTGGAACCACACGGCAATCATGGTCAACTACAGCATTTTTTAAAGACGTATCTCATCTTTTCCTAAATCTAGCCAAATGTGACGTACCCTGTCAGAAGAAGCCCACAACAAGAGGATAAGAAATGTATACACCTTTAAAAATTCACATTGAATAAAGAAACTGCACTCCTCTTAATTTTTTAAATGGTTAAATAAATTGTGATGAATGGGATTATCGTAATAGTGGAGATTTTACAGGGAACATCACATTATGGCAAAGGAATGCTAAAAAGAACAACATTTTTCCAAATGGTATTAATTAAACAATAATACTGTACACATCAAAGCAACTCAAAGTTCAACGCTTTCTGAACTTAAAGTTTTATTAGAACATTTTATTTACACCTTCAAAGATGTTTTTACTTCTTTTTCAGAATCAAAAGTTACAAGTTTCCTGACACTAACATTTTAGTCTAAAAAAAGCAAAATCTGAACATACTTTCAATCGAAACACAAGGATCTCACATGCTTGGCACGTCTGGAGTTTCGTATGATACAGCACGTTTCTACACATGCCTTTCCCGTGTGTACTGATAGACGCTCTTGTATCTGTGGAATGTTCCACACGAACAGCCTCTAAGACCCTCCTGGATCAAGTCTTCCTCGCACGCTCTCGACAAGTTTAAATCGTCTCAAATGCGCCAGGCCGCAAGCTCCACTGGGACTGCCCGAGCCAGTCCTGAGACAGCCACAGCCGGGAAAAAGCAGAACAGGACATAGTTTGCTAACAGTTAACAGCAACGTGTGCCTTTATCCTTATAATCAGTTTCGACACAGTTCAGTTCCAGGGCTTTCAGAAATAAAAACATTGTTAGAGCTCCCCAGCATCGCTGACTGGTACTTAGGCACTTCCTCCAGAGACAGGTCTGACACGCAGAGTGCTGGCCCCCTGCCAGAGAACCCTGGCTCCCTCGCGCCTCCGTCTCCATCTGTTTTCAAGACAAGCCGGCCTCCTTTCCGCAGAGCCCGTCAGACTCACCTACCAGTCACCCACAGGACAGGCAAAGAGCAGTAGCACAAAAGCCCCAAGGTCACAACTCCTAGAGAAGGAAAACCCTGATTATAGGCTACAGCAGCTCGACATCAGCTTGTTCTGATTAAAAACAGCACTGTATTTTTACTTTTTCAAAACAACACATAGGAAAAATGAACATCCAGCTATTCAGCCCATCTAGTTTGCTCAGGTAGTGATAGCTCTATTGATCTGAGGAGCTCATCCAGGTGTTTTCAAGGAAGTGAACACGTTGGCTTCAACAACACTGATGGATAGCTTATTCTAAGCTCCCACAACAATTTTGTATAAAGAACTAACTAATTGAACTAATTTTCAATATTAAATTAACTACTCTAGTTTCCATTTATTTCCTCAAGTTCATGTTTAACTGTTGGTCCTGAAGAAGCTCATTGGATTCTTTGTCAATACCTTTGAGGATTAAGAACAGCTGAATGAAGTCACCTCTTAGTTATGACTGTCCACGATTAAAGAAATGTAATTCTTCCAGCCTGTAAGTAATATACTTTGTGGCTCTTCTTCCAGAACAATAATATACTTTTAGTGATCTACAGTAAAAACGAACACTCTTAAGCTCGTATCTCAATTTGTGTAATCATATCAAAATCTAACTTTACTGTAGATTGTATCATTATTGATACGCAGAAAGGTTCTTCTAGGACAGACTGGTAAACTGAACTCCCAGTTGTTATTCCTAATTGATCCATTTCATTCAATTTGACAATTCAGGATATGATAAGAACCATCTCTACCAGAAATATCCATACTCTTCTTTCAATTTCAATACATTTTTTTTTTCATTTTACACACAATAAACTATACTGCCTTGAAGCATCAATACCAATGGAGAAAAATAATGCAAAAAAGCTAATTTTACTCCACCAACATAAAATGTCCCTTTTTTAAATCTCAATTTAGTTAACAATTCACCTGCCAGAGTCAAATTAGCACCCCAGTACTGTATAACGGGTATTAAAATGAAAAAGAAAAGCCATGAAAATGATGTAATGTGTTTTTCTAACCAAGAGGTGACCTGGAAATTGTGGCTTTTTAACTGCATGTTTTCGGTACTGATGCAAGCTTGAGAGCAAGCCAGATGGATAACGATCTTTCTGTACCACTGACCATGGGTACAGAAAAAAAGAGGAATAAAACAGCAGGAAAGAACACAAATATTTATTTGTGGTACAGAGCCCTGCTGCGCTATTGCTCTAATTGACCAGGAACAACCCTGCTGGGAAGTCTCAAACACAGGCCTGATGTTAGCCGGCAGTAGATTAGAGAGGCTGAGCCTTGCGGTATGTCCACACACTGCCTTTTCTACCACCTGTCTAGCTGTCCAGTGGGCACCACCTTAATGGATGGACACAACACTGGCTGTAAAGT